GGGTGAGGTCCACGGGGGTTTCTGGCCCCCAGGTGATGGGGGTCCTGGGAGGGGTAGTGAATTTGGCGATGACCCCCAGGAGGGGGCGGGGGGACAGGGGGAGGGGGCAGTCCACTGTAGCCATCATAGAAAGAGGGAGGAGGTCCACCTGAGAAATAAGAGAAATGATGCAGTATAATAATGGATAAATACAATAGACCTTCTTCAGTAACAGTTTCTACATTTAGCCTCTTCAGCAACAGTTTCTACATTTAGCCCCTATATTCGATTATGGGCCCTTATTGGCGAGCGCGTTAGCGTGAGGCAACTAATCCGGGTTGTATTCTCGCGATATGCGTACGTACGTGTCAGTCACGCTTAAGAATGGGAAACCTCTATCCAGAGGCACCTTTTTACAATCCACATTATAAATAATATGGCCAAGCAGTCAAGCACTCGACCCACCGCCCTGTCGTCGCATCCAAGTGTGGTGACTGCGGAAAAGTTTTTCAAACAAGGTCGGTACATATCTCTGTAAACTCCAAGTATACTAGATCAGTAATCTGTCTGTGCCAACACTTACACACTTCTTAGTATACTGATGGTGAAATCTGACGTGTCTAACCACCATTCCAAGATACACGGAAGAGCTTGTCGACCCAACCGTCGTGAAGCTGAAGGAGATTTCACCTGCCAGTTTTGCCAGGCAAAACTTCAGAATGTTAGATCAATTGGCCAACACAACCACGCCCACGCCAGGGTGTGCTGCTTGGCATACGCCGACGATCTATGTCTAGCCAGCAGCACCACCGATGAGATGCAGAGGATGATCATAGAGGTGGAAGCCTTCTTCCGGTGGGCAGGCCTCGCCCTTAACGCTACCAAATGTGCCGCCGCCCTAACAGTAGTGAACAGCAGGGGGAGGAGGTTTGTGAACGACTTTCCCTGCAGCTGGAAGGAGGATCAATCCCAGCACACCGGTGGGAAGAAACATACAAGTACCTCGGAGTAGATATGGGACGCGAGTCCCAACATTCACTAACCAACATCGCTAAATCAATCCTCCGCGACGCCGAGGGGGGTAGACACAAATCAATACGTGGGGGGCTTGCGGTGCGCTCGCGCGTAATCATAGTTTTCCGCCGCGTGTTCGGCCTATAGGCTACTGCGTAGAAGAAAGAATGGATCGTTGCGGACCGTCATCTCAAGATCTCTCGCTCTCCTTTTGTGGTGAAATCTGACTTGTCTAACCACCATTCCAAGATACACGGAAGAGCTTGTCGACCCAACCGTCATGAAGCTGAAGGAGATTTCACCTGCCAGTTTTACCAGTAGTGAGGAAATCCCTCCAACAGACGTCCACCTCCATACAGCTGTCCGAAAATGGCGCTGAAGTCCTGATGCGAGGTGCCGAGATATCACAGGACAGTCTCCGCCTGAAACTGAAGCAGGAGTGGGCAAGGCAGCATAGAGAAGCAATCCTGGTTGCCCCTGATCAGGGTAGGTGTGTGTGCTCCATTGCCCTGGATCCAGCTAGCAGCCACTTCATCGCCACCAGAGCTGGACTATCTTTCCAAGATTACAGATTTATCATAAGAGCAAGACTGAACCTCCTACCAACCGATAAGGACGGTTCTGAAGAGGATAAACCAGGTCAACGACGATTCCTGCCCCCAATGCCACACCCACCCAGAAACCCTGGCACACATTCTCAACCATTGTCCAGCCAGCGAAGGCCTACGACACAATCGTGTACTTAGACGACTCGTGGAGGAAATTCCAGAAGACAGTGGCCACATATACACCGAACAGAAGCCGCTGGACTCCCCAATCACGATGCGACCTGACGTCCTGGTAATTGGCAGAGAATCCCCAGTTATAGTGGACATCGCAGTACGTTAGATCAATTGGCCAACATGTTCGCCGAAGCAAGTGCGCAGCGAGCAGAAGATGCAAATTCGAACCCCGCCGGGCGATATTGGACTGCATCTGAGCATCTATGATGCCACACCCACCCTGAAACCCTGGCACACACCCTCAACCACTGTCCAGCCAGCGAAGGCCTAGTCTGTGAACGACACAACAAAATTCTCAGAAAATTCATCAAAGAAATACCAAAGGAGAACGGCCACATCTACACAGAGCAGAAGCCAATCCATTCCCCACTCCAGCTGCGACCGGATATCCTCGTCGACATCGCAGTACCATTCAAAGGGGCGGGGTCCTTCCAGGAAGCCAGGACCTCCAAGATTACTAAGTAGCCGACTGGCTCCAGGAGGTGAAGTGGAAGAGGGCTACTGTACACACTCTGGTAGTGCCCTGTCATTCTTTGTTCTACTTCATTTGAGAATAAAGATGAGTAGATACGGGACGAGAGTCCCAACATTCACTAACCAACATCGCTAAATCAATCCTCCGCGACGCCGAGACCATCTGCTCCTCTCAGGGGGCGTAGACACAAATCAAAACGTGGGGGGCTTGCAGTGCGCTCGCGCGTAATCATAGTTTTCCACCGCGTGCTCGGCCTATAGGCTACTGTGTAGAAGAAAGAATGGATCGTTGCGGACCGTCACCTCAAGACCTCGGCCAGCTACTCCAGCAAAGACCCGGTGAGGAAGAGACGAAGCTCGGCCAATCAGCGCCTCAGCTCCCTCCCGAATGAGCCGTCAGGGGTGACCCGCATCAGGACTCCTCTCTCGATCATCGAAGCCAGATGGGACGAAGCGACCCAATTGTCGAACAAAGCGACGTAACTACAACTTACCCGCAACAGGGTGCCCGTACAGTGGCCCATCTTTCTCCGTCTACTCTGCTTGGACACGACACCTCTCCTCCAAGCATCATGGCATGGGCCTCAGCCTATCCTTCAGATGCGGGGACTGCGAAAGAACTTTCGAGTCACGGAGGTCTGCGTCAAACCAAAATTCACTAACCAACATCGCTAAATCAATCCTCCGCGACGCCGAGACCATCTGCTCCTCTCAGGGGGTAGACACAAATCAAAACGTGGGGGGCTTGAGCTTTATTGTGGTGCGCTCGCACGTAATCATAGTTTCCGCCGCGCGCAAGTTACGCGCCTGTGCACGCCTGTATAATATTCCGTTCCCTGTATAATATTAATATAACCGTGGGCTTACAATTTGATATACATGCATTCCAAGGTTTTTTCTCCCCGAAGATTGACGAGCACGCCATTCTACCCCTAGAATGGGACGACTAGTACCACTACCTAGGAGTCCAAGTCGATTCTCTGCAGGCGAGAAGCAATCATGGGAGTGGACGACTCATCATCACTTTCGGTGGAAGTAATACACCCACAGCAGTCAGTCTTCACATGCCCGATCTGTAACACGTCCTTCTCGGTGTACTCCTCCTGGACGAGACCTTTGACCTTCTGACATCCTGAGGCTGAAATCGATCTGACGTTCAGATGTGGCGAATGTGGAAGGGCCTTTGACTCCCGGAGATCTGCATCCAACCATCATTCTAAAATCCACGAAAGGCAACACAGCCTGACTGTGGAGACGAAGCAGGTCGCCTGATCTGCGAGTTTTGCAGTGATCATTTCCCAAATAAGCGGTCCCTTGGACAACATATTCGTAACAAGCACATGGCCGAAGCGAGCCGGAAGCGAGCGGCAGAGTAGCAGACGCGTGATTCTACCTTCTGGACGACGGACGAGCGCCAACGTTTCATCAACGCACTACACAAGTTTGGCCATGACGCAAACGTAGCTATCGCCCGAAGGATTCCCACTAAATCAGTAATTATTGTATCTTACTGTTGTATCGTTCATTGTCTGTAAGTCACCTGGCTCTGCCTGAGGGGATCAGCAATGCCAGAAGGAGTGACGTACAGAGCATTTGGAGGTTAGTCAGGAAACCACTCAAACAGATGTCAACCTTCATACAGCTGACTGAGAATGAGGCAGCGATCTCACTGCAAGAGACGGAGCTACCCCGAGAACATCTTCACCTGAAAATCAGACAGGAGTGGGAGAGGCAGAAGAGAGGCAATTCTAGAGGCTCCAGACCAAGGGAGGTGTTTCAGAGAGGCAATTCTGGAGGCCCCAGATCAAGGGAGGTGCTTCAGCTCGATAACAATGGATCCGGCAAGTAACCACTTCATCCTCTCTGGAGCAGGTACATGTATATCATTCCAAGACTACAGATTTATTATGAAAGCGAGACTGAACCTCCTGCCAACCAGAACCGTCCTCAAGAGAATAAAACAGGTCAACGACGACTTATGCCCCCGATGCCACACCCACCCGAAAACCCTGGCACACGTTCTCAACCATTGTCCAGCCAGCAAAGGCCTACGACACAATCGTGTACTTAGACGACTCGTGGAGGAACTTCCAGAAGACAGCAGCCACATATATACTGGACAAAAGCCTCTGGACTCCCCAATCATGTTGCGACCTGACGTCCTGGTAATTGGCAGAGAATCCGCTGTTATAGTGGACATCGCAGTACCCTTCGAAGGGACAGGGTCCCTCCAGGAAGCCAGACACGCTAAGATCATCAAGTACAGCATGCTCTGGCTAACTGGCTAACTGGCTGCAAGAGGTAAAGGGGAGGAGAGCTACGGTACAGTGGTGGGGGCGCTGGGATCATGGGACCCAGATAACAAGTTCGCATTGGAAGCCGTGCAGATCGAATCACTCTCAAGAGACAGCGTGTCCTGGAGGCAATCAGATGGTCTAGTGCCTTCTGGAACGCCAGATGCAAAAACTAAGTTACTTTTCTCTAGACAGACTGAGACACTTATGTACCTTATTTTTATACATACACTTGTTAGTTTTGTATTGTTTGTCCTCTCACAGAGGGGCAGCGGCCAGCGATGGCCACCACCACATATGTAGTGTCATCACCTTTATTCTGTAGCAAAGCTGAGGGAGATTTCACCTGCCAGTTTTGCCAGGCAAAATTTACCAAATGTTAGATCAATTGGCCAACATGTCCGCCGAAGCAAGTGCGCAGTGAGCAGAAGATGCAAATTCAAACCCCGCCGGGCGATACTGGACTGCATCTGAGCATCTACGTTTCCTTGAAGCACTGAATGAGCTGGGCCCCTCTTCGAATATCGACATCGCTCGCTACATCGGAACGAAGACGGCCAATCAAGTGGGATTCCACAAGCGGATCTTCCTTCGATCGTCATCTGTCCCATCACCTGCATGGGAACCGCCTCTGTCGTCGGAGGAGGGGTTCGTGTTCGCTGTCTCGCCGATGCGGACGATCTCTGCCTGATAAATGGCTCGATGGAAGGAATGCAAGACATGCTCGAGTGGTACGGGCAGTGAAGTGGTTGACTAGCAGACACAAACTGGTCAGCGGGTGGCTTGGTCACAGCTACAGGACGGCCCAAATCAGACAGAGTACTATGGCAACCTTTACCCAGAGGCACCTTTTTGTAGGTAGTACAGTCATTTATAATTATACATAAGTATGGGGGAACAACCAAGTGCTTTCTGTAGAATATTTAGAGGTTTTTTCAAAGGCTTCTTTAATCAGATGCACCCCTATTTATAATCCACTGATAAGTAGGGGGAGAACCAAGTGTACTCATTATATTTGGACGTCGGAGGTCTCTCAACGCACATACCTGGAGGAGGGGGTGGTGGGGGCCCGGCGTAGCCGTACCTAGAGGAGGAAGAGGGGGAGGGAGGAGTGGGGGGTTGGAAGATCCTCTCGGGGGAGTGGGTGTGGCTTTGGGGTCGGTAGGCGGAGCTCCATGGAGATTGAATGGATCAGGATCAAATGCAGGAAGAGCTGGAGAGAGAATTATTACGTAACACCAACTAGCATGCAAGCCAGCATTACTTTTCACTGTGCAAAACGCTACACATTCGATGACATATTATTCTATAAGATGCACCCCACGGCTTACCGGCAGGCAGACCGGGAACAGGAGGTAGGGATCTCTCTCCGGTCTTCCCTCCTCCTCCGGCACCAGATGACCCCTGACCTTTGCCCCACAACACCTTCAATCTGTGACCTGTGCACACATGATGCACAACATTACATCATGTCTCATAAACATACTTCGTGTTTCTTAACAAAAAAGTAAGTTGAGCATGCAAATATTGGTTTGTTCAACTCTCATTGTGTGTAGGCACAGTAAAAAGCAACAATCAGCCGTTTTTTTTGAAGGCCAGCTCAACAGTTGCATAGTTTTCGGGCATATTTTCTGCGTATATACTAGAGTTGCATGTTCACGAGTCACAATGTGTGGGACGTGAATTATACAAACTGATACCTTTCAAGACCAGTTTATTGAAGGATCCACTCGCAGCCTGCTCGGCAGAGTGGCGCGAGGTGAAATTGATGAATGCACATTTCTGGGCCGGGACCAGGTGAATGGAGTTAACCTCCCCAAACTGGTAGAAATGACCTCTGGGATTGAGAGAGAGAGAGAGAGAGAGAGAGAGATGAAGGGAGGGGATCCTCTAGCATAATATACAGTCACACTTCGAAGAATACAAAGTAACAAATACCCTCCTCTGTCTTTTATTAAGAGTCCGTTTTTCATAGGTAATTTCCACACACTAATGTGAACATATTAAGGACACAAGTACAAGAATCTCTAGAGAGAGGTGTCCTTTTGCTGACATGACATTTAAAGTGGAACCATAAGTTTGAGACGTAAAGTTGATTTGTGAAGCCAAACGGTCTAGTCTCACCTCAGGTCTTTCTCGTTGATGTCACCCTCAACTCCGCCCACATAGAGAGAGGTGATTGTCTGGTCCTCTGGTGCAGTTAGCTGAGGCATCTCCGATACCTGATGTGTAATTACAGCAAAACCTTTAACACAATTCTAAATACATGCACGGAAATTTCGTTCACTCGCCAAAAATGTCATTTTTAGCTAACATCAACAAGTATTGGAGAGAATGTGAGTTTCTTTAATAGATATGGGAAGGTATATATATACTTATAGAGCAAGAGAATAAAATTGGTGATAAGATTAGCAAGGTATGGGGGGAGTGGAGTATGGAGCATAAGTACTAGGTATGAGGAATGGGGGTATGAGGAATGGAGGTATGACAGTACCTGTTTGAGCATCTTGTCAGCAACAGGGTCGTTGCTTCCATAGTAGCGGTCCTTCAGGTTCTGTTTGGAGAGCGGGTCTGTTGGGTCTGTGGGCATCTCATGTCTGATGAGAGAGAAGAGAGAAAGGAGGCTTTTATGCCTTTTTACTTCATATGTAAGACTAAGTTTAGCAGTAGCCGTCTCTTTGACTCTTTGAGAACAAGCAAGTGTACAGAGAACAGTGTCCGTGGGGTGAGTGTGCTTTAATTAGAGTTCGCGTAGTACAGTGCTTATTGCATGTACATGTATATACATATGTGGTCAAGATAGAGGCTGGCAACCCCAAGGCAGTGGATTCAGTGCCCCTCAGCTGTCTGGGAGTGGGGTGGTGCCACAATTGTAGCAAGGAGACGGGACGGAGCCTCTCCACTGCTCAGCTTGTAGTAAAGCGGCAAGGGTTAAATTGCTCGTGCTTGTCTTTTTTAGGCCAGTTGCGTTCCAAAGTACAGTACCACAAAAAGTAGGAAACTTTGATTCCTGGAAGACATATCAAAACCAAGGCGTGTTTCAACTAGAGGCATATGTATTTTCAAAACCAGATGTATTTGTTCATAACCTGTAAGGGCATTCCTCTCCCCTCTTGCACTCTCCCTTGACCCAGAAAGAGCAGACGTGAGGTCTGTTCCTCTTGTAGTAGGGCGTGGTCCTGGCCAACCTCATGAGCACATCACTGGGAGCCTGTGCCTTACCCACTGCCCCTCCCGGCTCAGTCTTACCACTGCTTGCCAGCTGGAGAGGGAGGAGGGGAGGGAGGGAGGGAGGAGGGGAAGGGAGGGAGAGAGGGAGAGGAAGGAGACATTGCAGTAGACGCCATGCAATTCTTCGGACAAAAAAACGCCAAACCTGCAAAATCACTGATTCGGTCTGAAAATTTCCAACATTCTACAAAACATCCTTTATACAGGACAGTTTGATCAAACAAACATGCAGGGCTCAAAATGTTCCTCTCCTAAAGAAACCTCTGTACTGTAAGTGATGTACACGTATACCTGGTTGTCAACGTTCTGGAGAAAGTATTCCTTGTTGACGTCACTCTGAGGTAGATTGTCCTTGACGTTCATACCGTGGTCTCGAACCTGGACCGGCAGCCCATACTCCAGATCTGGAACCAGAACCAGACAGACATCGTGAACATGTACACCTCTCATTTCCCCTCTCAGCCACATAGCATACGTAGTCATGCAGTAGGGGTTGAGAACTTTCTCTCTAAGAGACAAGTTGCCATGCACGTTCTTTGTACGCAGCAAAGGTGGGAGCAAGAGAAATAAAAAAAGGAGGGCAGCTGATCCTGCTCTAGCATAGTCTCGTGCCCAAACCCTCCCACGAAAGTGAATCAGCATGTGTACATAGATTGCGTAATTCAACCTGACAGTCATGTGACATGTGTACTTAGATTGCATAATTCAACCTGTCAGTCATGTGACACGTTTACATAGTTGCATAATTCAACCTGTCAGTCATGTGACACGTTTACATAGATCAACCCGACAGTCATGTGATAACGGTCCCTCTTACCCAGGAGGCATGTCTGGCAGACATTCTTGATCTGAGCGCAGGCCTGACAAATCTCGGTCTTCTTGTACCTCATCCTGGCTCCAGGGCACCACCTGAAGACAGTAAACGGTCTGAGGCATACCTACGTGATAGCAAGGGGGAGGAGAGAAGAGGGATAAATTGAGAAAAGAAAGAGGGATGAACTAGAAAAGGAAGAATGTAATGAAGACAGATTAAAAAAATAAGAGAGATCTGTAGAAAGAGATAAAAAGCTGGCAGACAAAGGAAGATGACAACAAAGATGGTACTCACTTTGCATTCGTCTCCATAGCTATCTTTGAGCTAATCACCAGGGAGACCAGGGTGGGCAATAAATAGAGTATACAATCAGAGGGGAGAATTTCGGCCTACCATTCGAATGTAAGGGTTGTCCCCCAGACACGTCTGACAGAGGAGCGGGAAATCCTGCAGTCAGCGAGTTCGTTTGCATTCGTGGTAGAGAGGGGAAAGGAAGGGAGGGAGGAAGGAGGCGGGACTGGTGAGCGCAAGGAAAATGGCGTCAGGGCACGAGGCTTGGAGCTCAACTTACAGACTGCTCCCAGTTCTGACGGTTGTAGGTGTTTGCCGACTTTGACATCGACATGGCTACACTCACTCACTCTCACTGGGCGCAACAAGAAAAACAGCGGGACAGGACACACACACACCACATGCACACCACGTGACACTCAGCACCGATATTTCGCGCATGCGCAAGTCTCTTTCTATTTGTCGCGCACCACCCCTGCACCACCCCTGCCGCCTCTTCTTCTTTGTCTTCGTCTGCACCGCCTAGTCTCATTTCTCCAGGGATGGTGGGGAAGGAGAAGGAGAGGCCGAGAGAGAGAAGCAGTAGATACGATTATCACAGGCGCCACTCTTCTCGTAGCAGAGACGTGGGCAGGTTAGCTTCCAAACCAGACATTTCCTTAGTGAAATGCTCGATAATTGAAGCGAAAGTGAAAGTACCAGCTATACAATGTAGCGCCAACGTGACCAGTACACAGGTCGAGTATCCTTTTGGAAGAGCTATGCATTGCAAGCAGTGTGATCCTCATTATGCAAATGATAGTGGGAAAGTTTGTTCAACAAATAGGCAGCAGGATGGATTTCCTGGTATCCATGTTGATTTCATTCACAGATAGGGTGTTTCCAGTTGGTAAAACTCCCAGGGTATTACCTTTGGTATGATGTTATTTCCTCTTGGCACCACAGTATTATAGTGTATTATACTCTTGTTTATATGAGTCGTGAGTGTTGTCGATAAGCAATATCCCTGTATTTATAAGGAGTGTTATGTATATATGTTTATACCCCGTGATCCATGCATGCAGTGAGGCATGTAAGCCACCCGTCACATGAGCATCACACTACATTCATACTATACTGTATTACTGCATTCTAGCATGCCTCTTCCCTAGTATGCATGTTGTGATTAGTTGAGCCTCCATTTTGGTGGAGGTGTCATGTTTTCAGTTCCTATAGAGTCTTTCCCCTGCTCTATAATACTCCCCTACTGTCTCTTCCCCTACTGTGTTGATACTGCAGTTCACATGATCAGCAACAGGCAAAGCCATTGTCGAAAGACGTGTCTTTCCAACCTCCTGTAAGTCTGTGATAATTATTCTCTCTCTCATTTCCGTCTGTCATCTAGTCTTAGTGAACTACCTTGTATTACTACTGTATTTGTCCAGTCAGTAAATCTCAGTAAACCCTCAGTATACTGGTCATTTTTTCAGTAAAACTCAGTAAACCCTCAGTATACTGTTGGATATTCCCAGGCCAGTCTACCAGACGAAGTCCAATACATCAGACGCCAGAGACTCCTGCTGCGAACTCTGAGGAGGAGATCAGGTCTCAGAAGAAAACTCCTCGCTAAAGAGGTCAGCAGAGGTCACGTGACTCTCACATGACTATCACACGAGTGTCATGCAGTTTGGGACCAGCGATATCTCGACCATTGTGAGTAGCAGGAGGGAAAATGATGAGAATAGAAGACTTCGGTACCGCCTTAACCCAACCAAGTACAGGTGAATACTCTACTTTTTTCAAAATGTTTTTTATTTTTATTTTACGTCTAATATTGAGGTATAGTAGCTAGCATAACCTTTTATCTCTATTTCCATGCCCACAATCTTTATATACATTGGTCCCCTACCCCTAAATCTTCATAACCTCAAAATTTATACATGCAAACATTTCTTGATTGTTGTCTTTTTTTCACTGCTTTAGAGCGACTTCACGGCACGAGCCACCTTCATCTAGAAAAGAGAGAGAGAGAGGGAGGAAGAGAGACGACCAAGACATTGTCAGCTGCAATTGTTCTTCTTCTTCCTCCTCCCTTCCTCCCTTCCTCCCTCATCTCTTCCTCCCTCCTCTCTTCCTCCCTCCTCCCCTCCTCCCTCCTCTCTTCCTCCCTCCTCCTCTCCTTCTTCCTTTATTTCAGTTTATCTTCCTCACTTTCTCTTACCAGCTGTTTTCTGTGCCAGTTCAGTTTGTTCATTTACCACAATCTCTTTCAGGAGGAGGAGGAAGCCACATATAAGGACTCCAACATTTTCATGAAGGTGTATATATATCCCACATTCAATTTCTGCTCCATCCATACTCAACTTATTCTCACACATACATAGCCAGCAAACTTTACAGTAATTTTTTTCAATCTCACACTTGCTACGTATATTCCGTCCTCTTTACAGTATAACTAAAACTTTTGCAACAATAACGTTAGCAAATTACTATATACGTCAAAACAAAATTTCCACGAGAAAAGGTTTTACAATGCAGTTGGAAAACATGCTTCCTGGTGAAAAAACCAAAGTATTTGCGAAAGGTTTTAAGATCTTAGATTATTTAAAAAATTCGGAGCAGTTTTAGCATTACCATATTAAAACCCTATTCTGCCTGGCCTCCTGTGCAGGGCACCCAGAGTGCCAACCCCCACAACGACTATTCCCAGCACTTTGTGGACACGTGTCAGAGACCGCAGAACTTCATCAGAGATGTGGGGATTGGAGAGAGGTTCAGGGAATACCCCAAACTGAGGGAACTAATGAGGCTGAAGGTTCGAATGCACGGTTTGTATGTATCAAGTGATCTCAACACATCTAAACCTAGAATGAAGGTTTGGTAGCAAGTGATCTCAACATGTATAAACCTAGAATGAAGGTTCTAGCATCATTTTGTTAAAGCAGCACGTAATATCTAATATGCACTTGCTAACTCACGCTAACTCATTGGCAGCTCATGTAGTCATCCGAGTGATTGGCTAAGTGTCCTGAGATGTGTCTCATTTGCTCTAGAATTCATTTCTCAATCAATTCCTGGATAGCTCAGCAACATTTTCCAGTAAAGCAGTTGCTGCTAGCTACTATACTACTAGAGATACACATGATAAACACAGTTCACAGGAATTCACAATATTCATTTCCATGGGTAGATCCCTTCAAGATCCCCTCTTAATCATTATTCATATAATTTAAAACCTCAGCCAGAGCTGCATATCGGTGCAACCAAAATATGTGTTCTCCCATGTCTACAGTATAATTATGATATAGTAGTTCACAGTATTATAGATCGCACAAGTATGATAAGATATTCATTGGTGAGTGAAGCGAGCCTACTGAATGCGGGATTTTTCCTATTATTATGCCACTGCAATGTTCTCTATATAATTTAACTGCTCACGCTCGCTCGCCAAACATTCATTGCATTGATCATGTGTCCAGAAGTATCGAGATATTCACAGTATTGATCTCTCCACATGTACAGGACGGACAGATAAAGCAAGGGGCCGCCCAGCCAATGTACCTGCAGACTGACTTGAAGAGTTTCGATTTATCTGGTCTCGGAGTCAAGTTTGATGTGATGCTGGTCGAGCCTCCACTGGAGGAATACCAGCGGAGAGCTAGTGGGGTTAATTTTAGCTGGTCGCCGTGGGAATGGGAGGAGGTGAGGAGGGGAGGAGGGGAAGATGGAAGGAGGGAGGGGCTATGGGGAAAGACTGGGAGAGGGGAGTGTGGAGGGTCTGTGTACTCGCTGACGTCAGTGCAACGTGATCTGCCATCAAAACTGGACACACATGTTGCTTGTCCCTCTTGTGTGGGCGCTTGTGTTATTAAACAATCATTCTCAAGTGACGTCAACGTCATACCAACGCTAAGTGCAATGTACCCGATAATTATTGTAGGCGACAGTTGTTTTAGGTTGTAAACAACCCACCCACAGTTTGGCCAAGTCAGCTGGTTATAATGGGTGAGGGTCATAGTGTATAGTTATTCATTGTCTGCGTGTACATGTTTACGTGCGTAGGTGGTGGGTGGTGGGTGGTGGGTGCATTGACGGTTAATGTAGGCAGTGCACAGTTACTTATTATCAATATTAGCCTATGAGCAAGCGTAAATTATCTTGATAGAATGTTTGAATCCCAATGTTTTCATTAGTTTTTCTCAACCTTGGTTTTTCTCAAACTACACATTGTTTTGTGCATTCGGTTCTCTCGTCAGATAATGAGTCTGAAACTGGAGGATTTTGGAGCTCAAAGATCATTCCTCTTCCTCTGGTGTGGTTCATGTGAGGGACTGGACCTGGGCAGAGAGGTATTTACAATGACAATATACATGACTTTATGGGTGATGAATATCATTTTCCACACTGCCTATATTAATAATAATAATGAGACTAACATTATCTCACATTATATTTAGATGCATATGCACCTCCTGATGGTAGTATAAAAGTCAGTGACTTTGAGGTACATACATACATAGGTAAACACCCCCCTAATGTAACTTATAAAACTGACAGAAGTGTGTGCACCTTGGTTGCTGATCTGTGTTTTAGGCATGTATGGACAATTGTTTTTAATGACGTCATTTCCTGTATGAATTATATAATTTGACTCTGAGACAAACAGCCACCATATGCTACCAATTACTTAATACTCGTATACCGTATGTTTATTACCTGACTCATCACAACAACAACATGTTTGTTAAGGTTTATAGGGTCATAATAATCATGACATCACACTAGACTAATGCACTAAGCAGAAATTAGTCGTAAACACGGCAAGGACACATAATTATTTGTGTCGTAAACTAAGAAATATTTTGTGTAGAAAACGTGAATTATACTGTTTTTCGGACCGTGCATATAGTCCTTGGCTACAGAGGTTTGCTGCGAGACATCATAGCTAATTGTATAGGGAATTAATTTATTCCGTCTACTGCCATGTATGCAGTGTCTCAAGAAATGGGGCTACAGAAGGTGTGAAGATATATGTTGGGTTAAAACTAACACCAAGAACCCCAGTAATAACCAACATATCGAGCAGAAGAGCATTCTGCAAAATACCAAGGTAATTAGAACTTCTACAATTCTGCACATGTTTGGTTGATACAATATATTATGATAGGTTTTAATAATATCGCAGCATGTGAATTACTAAATAGCATCAAATCTGTATAACAGAAATGACAGCTCCACCTCCTCCTCTCTCACTCTGAGAGCCTTGGTTCTGGAGCTTTAGTATTCATGTTCCAACCATGGTATGTATATTTAATAGGACATGAATTTAAGGGATTTGTATATCCTCAGATTTAGCAGTAGACTTATCATCTCGACCTGCTCACTAACAGAATGCAGCCTATTCTAATTCTAATACATTACAGGGTTCTCGTTAAAGCGCGGAAGAGCGGTGCAGCGCCGCGCTATAGTTCCACTCCGCCGCTCTATTGCAACTGCCCGCCGCTCTATGCGCACGCGCTCGAATAATTGTATTCACAGTTTACGTAAGTACTATAAAAGCTGCCCACGTGTTTCACCACCGCGGTCAGAAGATAAGCGCAGAAACGCTAGTTCCAGCTGTGCTCAAGGAAGTAGCGAGAAGCACAAGATAGGCTACAATCCTGCCTGGAAGAGTGTCGTTCATTTACCACATTTGCCTCAAATTCCCCCAGATTCAATCTCTGAGAGTCTAAATGCTCAAATTTTCCCCCAGACCCCCCTAGGTGACAGATAGCACCGCTCTGTGATTTTTATAGCTAGAACACTGCATTATGTATCTGTGAGAACTGCAAGTAGGTGTGTGAGAAATATATAAATCTTCCCACAACCTGTTTGCAACCTCTAGAGAAAAGTGGGGATTTGTTTTGTGGCGTTTTGTTTTCACTGTGCTAATATGGGGGCTTCCTTATCCATAACCACCATCACTATTACAGTATATATGTATAGGTTAGGTTTGATGATGGCAAGTGTGCTCTATGAGGGAATAGAGCATACTTGCCATCATCAAACCTACTTGGTATACTTCTCCAGCACAATGCCTGAATTCCCTATAAGGAAAGCAAAGTGGGTGTTGATTAGGAAGTGACTAGCCCTCAGCTAGTATATACAGCTAAGTGGGTACCAATAAATCATACCCTATAATGTGCTGTTGCTGGGGTAACTATACAAATACCCACATCACGCTTCCTTATCCATACCTATATACCACCACTACCATGGTATATGCCCCTCCCTTGGTTTGTACATGGCAATGTTCCAAAACTCCCTACTCTCCCACAAGTATTGATACAGCAACTTCTGGTCAATGGTATTTAGATAATAGGGTGGAGACATTTTTTAGACTAATGCACTGGAATGTTGTAGTAATTCGGCATGTTTTTCTGGGACTGCATGTACCTTAATGTTGTAAGATTGAGAAAAAATGGGAACTACTATTGCATTCCTTAGTGTCAAATTTCTGTTTGACTTGTCCCTATTTCTTTCCCAGGAACATTGTTTGATGGGAATAAAGGGAACAGTTCGCAGGAATCAAGATGGTCATTTCATCCACGCTAACATCGATCTGGACATCATTATAACTGAAGAAACACCGATAGGTAGAATGACTCTCTTTGAATGACTCTCTTTGGGTTATTTGCCCTCTCCTCTGTACTGATGTACTGATGTAAAGCAAAGTAATTGGTCCAAGTGTCTTTCTGTAAAGGCACATTTTGGCAGCCACAATATCATGTAGACACCTATAAAATTGGAACAACAGAGAGAGGGTATTCCCCTGGTGAATTCCCCCAGTGGGACACCTGGAAGATTGGCATCTTAGGTCTCATGTCAACCTTTTGTTACCCCATGCCAAGCCTATGAACATACTCTGGTACCTCTGTTCATACAAACTGTCTTTGACCTCATATATTATATACATACTAAAACTGCAAAAGCTAGTGACGCTGTTTGCCCTTTCTGAAGCAGTGTTCACTGCAAATACCATACCTTCTCTTCTATTTTGTAGGAGATATTTCGAAACCGGAGGAGATCTTCCACATCATAGAGCACTTCTGCCTCGGTCGACGCAGACTCCACCTATTTGGAACCGATAACTCCATACGCCCAGGTCCGGTACCAGCCAACCATCTATTAATGTACTAGTTTCGTCATAGATACTACTGTACTATATACGTAGCTTCGTCATGGATACTGTGTAATAGTATCTATGGCGATGTACCACGCACTTTGGCAGTTGGGTTTATTGCATGCAGAAGGATGGGGCTGCAATTCTAAGGGCAGGGTTTGATTTGCAAGACTTTAACCTCTTTTGCATCATTTGCACTGTGTACTTACCTGAGGGGTTTTCCCTTCGATTTCCCCCTGAGAGTTTCATCATTCACTATTATACATGCTGCACCAGCCCTAAGCGTGACTAATTGACATTCGCGTGACCGACACGTACATACGCAAATCGCGGCAATCACGCTAACGCGCTCGGCAATTATAACTCTCAGCAACCTGTGTTGTATACTTATTTATCACAGAAACTTCTGGAAGGTTCTGTAACACATGCATTATTTGTCATTAATATTCAGAAACCTTGAGAATAATATTGCTGGTCACTTGCCACAGAATCTTCTGGATATTCTGTAACATAATATGCCGATGTGTATAATTGCCATAAATGTTTATTATTGCTGTGTTGTATAATACCGCTAGGTTGGTTGACAGTAGGTCCAGCACTGACGTCCTCCAATTTCTCCAAGGAAGTCTACCAGTGTTTCTTCGAGGGCTCTGCAGGCTACCTTCTCCAGCACTCTGATGAGATAGAGACACTGAGACCAAAGACCCCTCCACCCAAGGGGGGCAGGGGGGCAGGGAGGGGGGGCAGAGGAGGCAGGGGGAGAGGAAGAGGAGCTTTTTGAACTAATCTATTATAGGCACATTGCTTATTCTTATGAATAAACTGAGCATTATTCATTTCTCCTGCATTCACACTTGCACATGATTTTTCACTTCAGCATGAGATAGTCATCGTCACACTGCACTGTACTGGGCGGCAAGACGACGATTGATCGATCCCCCAGCGGCGCGGCCCGCTGCTCGGTCGGTGTTAGGCTAGGCGCGCGCGATCCGGCCGCGGCCTCGAACTGCATGGTGCATATAATAATTATGCTCGCGCGCGGCGGCCGGTCACCATGAATATAATTATTATAGATCGCGCACTCTCTCTATATATACTATAATTATACTAATAGCTATATAGCTGCGCTGCGCGTCCGATCCGCCGCCTCACGTCATCGACTTAATTCCCGGGAAAACCCCAACTTTCGCGCGCCGCGGCCGGGTATAAAAGCAATTACAACTATACATACCTAGAGCCGAGTCTGTGTGGAACTTACCTTTTTTACGCAATGGAAAACGACATGTGGTAACTTCACTAAGCGGCTGCCTGCCTGTGCGGGTCCGCAGCTCCGTTCCACCTCCAGCAGCTTGCAAGAAGCCGTCATTTTCCCCTTCTGATCCTCGCTTCCAGCGCAGCCGTCTTTCAGGGAGCGAGGGGCGGCCGCTCTTGAACATTTTAACCTAATATACAGGTAGTTTAGTAGTTGTTTAACGAAAAAGAAACCGAAATACGCCAGGACCAAACAAAAAACATGGGGTTTGATGTTACTCTCGTGGACGCTAGTGCGAAGAAAGAATCCAATGTCTGTCCGCACTGCCACCTGATTCTGGATACACCTATGCAAACTGAAGAAGGCATCAGGCTCTGCAAAGGGTGTCTCGACGAAATAAAGATGTGAGTCAGCAGAGCTAGAGAGCTAGCTACAGCAGCAGTGCGCGCTGCCATGCCACTCGCCGCACGTGTATATCGCGCATGCGTGATTGTTCCAACTGTTCATTACTCTGCAGCAAGCCCGGAGGAAGATGCAATTGCTGCGACGTTACTGTGAAGGAAGGGCAGGTATGTCAATGCTGTATTTTGTATTTTGAAGACTTAGGATGCTGTTTGAGGCTTTTGTGGTTGTATTGCTCTGTGGTTGCATTGCTCTGTGGTTGCTTGCTGGGGCAATGCTGTTGATGCTGGGTTAGCTTTGGCTGGCTTAGCTTTGGCTGGCTGTGGTGGTGTTTGTGGTAGACCACGTCCTTAGCTGTGCAGTGGTAATGTCGTCAATTCCTTTGAATTGGCCTGTTGTGTATCAGTTCCATGGAATAAGTTCATGTTTCATTGGGTCAAAGGCACTCACATGTGACAAGTTGGACAAGCACGGACTGTTTCTTCCACCAATGTATACACATACACAGATGGACCCCATAGGCTCTTAGAATAGCTGCATAGTTAATCAATATTATCAAATAATGACGGAAAAGTTGTGATTTTTGCTGCATCTGTCAACCTAGCTTGCAAATTCAGTCACATCAAACCGTGGGCTGATCTGTTTCCCTATTGTTTCCCTATGTTGCATCACATAGCGTAGTTGCATCATAATGTGTAGAGTTGGAACAACAGATAATGTGTTAGTTCCATTATACTTGACATTGTTAAGTTGTGTATTTAAAAATCTGGGTGAATGCAAGGTACACATTTCCTACAAAATATTGTGCTTTTACACTGATAAAAGCTGTACATACATTTGCTACTGTGTAAAATAGAAATGCACCTGCCTAGGCACATACATTACAGAAGACATTATACTTAATGCATGCTCAGTTCAGCAATCATTGAGCCTGTTGCATGATGTTGCGTAACATCAATTACATGTCTATGCCTGCAAGGACAACATTGTCATGGTGACTTTGCATTGCTAAGCCTCGTTTGCATGTTCGTGCCTGTTCATGCCTGCAGGCATCTTCAGATTTCAATCTGTCCACCATTGCTGATTGAGAGCTACATGGTTAGTAGGCAACTATTGTTTCTTGATCAGCTGATGGGATGTGCTATTGAAACATTGCCTTGTTTAGTAATGTGGGTGCCTTCTCCACTAACATATGGAATGTCTGACTGCACATTCCACACTAGTTGCATTATCAAGGTTTTTTGAATGACTGTCTTTACCTAATTTGGACAATTCTTCTTCGTCACTATTGTAGGATTTATTTCTGCTCTTCTCAAGTATATAGTACAAAATGTAGTATCTCTTCATGCTATGTTATGTAGTCTCAACTGTATGATGCAATAGCATTTCTTGGCACACATCATGATGACATATGCACATTGATTTCCTGCTATATAGTGTGATAGTATATAAAAGATAAAAGGAAGTATAATACATGTGTACAAGTGAACTCTCTTACGTAAGTCCATCTGAAGACTAAATAATCCTAACGAGTGTTTTCCATCGTATGTATGATGTCATAATTAGACTTAATTTCCTCCTATGTTCGTTGTTGATGAGGAATGTAAAGTCACGAGTTTAACAAACAGTCTTGCTGTAGTTGAATCAACTGTATTCCATAAAAGGAGAGATAGCTAGTGATACAGTCACGTGGTATATAACATCGCGTCATTTACACCAACTCTAGAATAACATTCTGTTTCAGCTAGCATACTTGTTGGAAAATGTAAAAACCTTTTTCTCATCTAAAAAGGGAGTGCTGAAAGCCAAATTGTAGAAAATATCTAGCCGGATGTAGGAGTATCAGGTTACACTGTTTTATCAGTAAATAGCAACAGTTGATTTTGAACAAAATACCTGTTTATATGGCTTCTCTGTATGTACTACACAGTACTATCCAGATAGAGCAGCCCTGAGAGAGGTGAACGCAATTCTCGTCTTCTGTCGCCACAAGAAGTTTGGTTGCAGCTGGCAGGGAAGGTTGGAGCTGTACAAGGTTAGTAGCTAGTTTGAACTGACCAATCAGTGCATAGCTAGTTTGAACTGACCAATCAGATTTGTCAGGTAACTTCTCTATTTTATGAGACTTCTTTCTGATTGGTTGGTTCATATGGTGCACTTTGGCCAGCAGATGCAAGTGTGAAGTTTTACAAACAAACGAACTTGAACTTGCATAAAGCCATCATGGTATGGGGAAATAGATTTAGTCACTCAACTTCCTCATCTTTTACTTCTTACTTCTTCCTTTGCTTACTTTGCTTCCCTTTATTTGTAGTGTTACAAAATTCTCTTCCTCTCTTCCATGTTTGTTATTTTCTCTTACTCACTTTGACAACTGACTCCATTTTCTCATCGTCTTTCTTTGATACTTCGTCTTCTTCTGTCACTTCATCGCTCTTCGCCTCTATCTCTCATCTCTATCTCTCTCTCTCGCTCCGCGCAGTCTCATGTTGCCGGGTGTGAATTTGCAGGAGTGTCTTGTCCAAACGCAGGCTGTCATGAGATGGTTCTGGCCATCCAGCTCCAGTCCCACCTCGCCCAGTGTCTCTATCGCCTGGTTACCTGCTCTCACTGCCAGGAGAAACTGGTTGCTAAAGACTTAGAGGTACAAGGAGTGAAGGAAGAATGGATGAAGTGCCAAGTGTAGCTATAGTGAAACTGGCCAAGTGTTAAATGAGTGGTGTTGATGGCAAACTCAGGTGTTGCATGTCTGGGGCACACCTGCTGCACTCTTAACAAGAGCTATGGGATAGTGCAGGTGTCTTAGATGGGCAGTCTTGCTAATGTGTACTGGCTTGTGTGTATCAGTGGTTTTTAAAAGGCCTAACGCCTTTCGCATTTCGGTTGCTAACACAAATTTCACCATAAAGACTGTCGCCAGCCACCAAAGTTCCCTACAAACCTTTAGGAGACAGCTAATGAACTTGGTAAAAATCTTTCCTCTGCTACAACTGCTTGCAACTTCCCCCCTCCCAGGGCCACCATTCCTCCAGCTGTCGTATGTATCCAGTGGACTGTGAGAGGTGTGGAGAGAAGGTCGTCCATAGACACCTGCTGAATCACCATCTCCAACACAGCTGTAGACTGGAGGAATGCCTTGTCTGTAACTCTCTGGTATGCTTGGTATTCATTCATACACCATGGACCATGAATTCCAAACCTTTCATGTTTTACTAAGTTTAAGGTATGGCACGCATGTTGCGCAACACCTTATCCATATTCTTGAATACCACATCTCTATAAGTACATGGGACAATGTCGTGCTTTTGGCAATGAATGCAACCAAGTGTGCTATAGAGGATTACATCATTGAGTCAGTAGCATAGGGAGTGTGTGAAGTTTAACAGTACGGTATGTGTGCAATGCAACTACAGACATACTAGGTAGCTTTCTCTCAAAGACTGCCATACACTGTTTAAAACAAACTGACCAATCAGATTGCAAAGCAGATGAGGCTTGTGGTGTAACGTTATGTAATAGTCACATGTGTGTGTTTATTTGGGAGAGTCTATATACACACCTGGGTTTTTTGGACTTGTTGATGTATGGTTTTTGGCTGACTCCCCAAAAGCATGCTCATTTGTATGTGCTCCTATATGGTTACTAGTTGTTGTTTGTAAACATGGTGGTGGTAGTCCCCCTGGGGCTATACATAGATGAGTAAGAGAACTGCTTATTCGGGGAGAAAAAGGTTTACTTAAACACATGTTTTGGTGAAAACACAGCACACTGTGTGTTTCTTGTTTTTTACAATAATATTCACAAGTAGGGAGCGCAGTACAGCTTGTACTAGCTATAAAAAATCCCTGGGTAAGACCCTGTATATACAACCACGCATAATGCTTCTCAGAAGAACTTTCGGTATGTTGTAGTGAATTAATTGTGTGTGATAATGTTGAATGGTAGTGGGAGTATCTGTAGTCTGAGATAGTAAGTTGCCAGGTCTGTGTCAAGTAAGGAACAGACATAGGTGTACAAGAATCATTCATGACGGCCAGCTGCCTGCTACAGCAACGTCTGGTCCATATTTTTCACTTCGCTGGTTTTCAGGGTGTCATATGTTGCTGTTTTTGGGGTGGTTACTATAACTGTCAATTGTACCAATATTCATAATTTCAGCTACTTACATTGGTATTATCTTTTCTATTGAGGTTTTTAATGTACACATTATTTATGCTAATTTTATAGGTCGACAGAAAGACGTCCAAACATGTGGGATCCTCTGGAGATCTCTCTCATTCTTCCTCATCTTCCTCTACTGCTACTGATGACTCCTCAAAATCCCAATCTGCGACCCCCTCTGGGGGCCAGGGGGGCAAGAAATCTGGCCCCCGCTCCAAACAAAAGCAGCAGAGGAAGGGGGAGAAGTCATCGGCCGTGGCGACGACAGAGGAGAGAGAGGAGGGGCAGGGGGAGGAGGATGGAGGGTATCATTTGGGACATCCGACGGCTGTGTTCAGACATGTGCAGACCTTGGCAACCCAGCAGGAGCTGTTGAGGACTGGTGAGAGGGGGAGGGAGAGGGAGGGAGAGAAGAGAGAGGGGGAGGACAAACCATAAATAAACGTTGGGGTCAGGGAGGTTGGGAGGTTTTAAGGAGTGGGTGGAATTGTAGTAAAAATGTGTGTAACAGATGTGTAAAAACACAGTGGGGGAGCCAGTAGCCTTTTGTTGTGGGTGTGTGTGTGGAAGTCCAATGAAGCCTTTGGTGGACTTTGTAGAGTTCTAGTAGTTCTGATGCATGGTTGCATTTCAATGCTTCATGGATAACTCCCTGCACTTAATCATTCATGAGAGACAAAACTTTAGATTTGTCTTTAGAATTGTCTTTTTTCAGGCTAGGTTCTTTTCCCCTTGCTAGTCGCTAGTTTTTTGCCAGTGGGCTGAAATTTTAACAAGCATACGATCAGCCTTTATTGGTCCCCTCTCTACAGATATGGCATCTCTTTCGCGGACAACAGTGACTCGTCTTACTGAGGCCGCCTCTCGTGATTCCCATGGCAACGAAGAGCTGGACGAAGGAGTGATAAAGCTGATTGGTCGACTTGAGGACCAGCTGAAGGCATTCAGACGGCAGATGGAGACTGAGAGGAATAATCGTATTGCGGTAGAGGAGAGGTGAGTGTCAGTCACTTCTCACAAATTATAACCTCTGAAAAATGGACGCTATATAGTTGTCTTTTATTTTTTTAAGGGTCCTTTTCTGATCTTTAACTGTGCTGTAAAAAAATTTACACATGTGCTATATATGAGAAAGGGTTTGTGCTCCAGTTATTGTGTACAAGTTTCCTAGCAACTGGTGTGATGTTAATGCTGACATCATAGGCTTTTAGGGTGGTATACCAGGAAGAAGGGGTGATGTAATGATGACCTCATACTTCTCTCGGAAAACATTGCAGGATGAATACGAGATCATACAAACCTCAAATTGAGCAATTCCGTTCTAAAACATGTAATAGTGTTGCTAGTTCTAATGTTTGTACTCAGGAGAGAGTGGGAGGTACTGAAAAAGGACACATCACCATACTAGGGCACTTGGCTCTGCCACATATTAATCTGATAAAGTCTCCAAAGGGTGTCCCTTATTCTGAAGTTTCACTGTGGGCCAGAGGTGCTTTTCCAGAGGTGCTTTGCCAGAGGAACATCGTGTTAGGTGTTTTGTACGAATTAGGATGAACGGACTAACGAAGGAGATGGAGACAGTGAGAGCAAGCAGTGGAGGAGGAGGAGGGGGAGTGGGGAAGGTGGGAGGGAGAGAGTGGGAGGGAGGAGGGGAAGGACACGTGAGATCGAGACTGATGATGTTGGAGCAGAGAACGGAGCAACAAGAGAGAGAGACTAGCACCCTGAAGGTCAATACAAGTTGTTATCTGTCAGGGAGCCTGGACAACACGTGTTTAAATTGTGTGCGTAATTTATGTGGAAACCATGGAAACAAACCCGAGTACAATGCCTATATACACACTCACAGGTTACGTCAGACTTTTTACGTTGCATACATTCACATACAATTACATCCAGCAGTTCATGGAACTATACCACACTAAGTGTAAACTTCATGAACCATGTATATAGACACTATGTTGTGCCAAATTAAAACTAATTCTTCTCAGTTACTCACATGCTCTGAAATCACAACATCATGTGATGCTGTGTCATCATTGCTAATTTTGTTCATATGACGACTTATGCTGCGAGCATTGGCTTGAGCTGGTGCATTGCTTGTGAAGTCCATATTTGTTCATAAGTCTGCCTTGGTTTCTTCATGCTTATTGTCATGGGAACTATGAATTACGTAACAGAGCTTCTTTTTTTCCTATTATGGTCAGGACTAAGCTGAGTGTCTCATTATTCATTACTGTGATGTTATAAAAAAGGATGTGGCCATTATTTTATGGTAGGGTGTAAATACAGTTATCACAACTGTGGTTTCCGGAAAGGATGTGGCTAAGCAAATGTCAGGTTATGAATTCAGTTCGCTGTTTGTGCTAGCGAGAGTGTAATGACAAACTTGCTCAGTGGAAGCGCAAGACATGAATATCACTATATAGCAGGGGAACAATAAGATGGAGAATATTTACTGCATACAGAATGTCTTTGTAATGCAATTGCATAAAATATGCGTAACAGTTGAGAATACATATACACATCTCCTGCCTGTTCTTTGCAGGTAAACATGTCAGAGTTGGAGTTACAGCTCCAAGCCTCTCTCGCCTCAACCCACAACGGATCGTTCCTATGGAGAATACCCGAGGTTGCTAGGAGACGGAGAGATGCCATCGACGAGAGAATTACTTCCATTTACAGCCCACCATTCTATAGTGGCAGGTTCGAACATAAAGAGCACATATTTACTATACATCCAGAGACAATGGAAGGCTCTATAGTAGATAGTATAGGTCAATGGGTCTTTTGTCTAACGTTATGTAGGTCAATGGATAGCTTTCTTTTGTCTAACATTCTTTCTTTTTAAGTTTCCTTCCTTCCTGTTAAACTCTTCCCTTCTCTTTGTCTTGCTTCCTTTTTCCTCTTCCTTTCTTATCACACACCCTCCATTGTTCACTATCTTCCCCAACCCTCCTTCTTTCTACCTGGTAATACCTACCAGATTTATGATAGAGCCTATCTCTTTGTCTATTATCTTACTTCCACTGTCTATCTTCCTCAGGAATGGCTACAAGATGTGTATTAGAGCATATCTCAATGGCGATGGAAGTGGATATAAAACTCATTTCTCAGTGTTTTTTGTGTTAATGAGAGGAGAATTTGATCCCCTTCTAAAGTGGCCTTTCGAGTACAAGGTGACTAATTATTTGTTTTTAACTAGCTGTCACTCTTTTCTGTGTCATGTGCTGTGTCGTGAATTTTCAAAGTGCAAAATATCACCAAATTCGCAAAACTTTTGCTTCCTTAAAAGCGAAATCTTTATACTAAGCTCTGAAGATTGTTGATGTGCTAAGATTTTGAGAACTAGAAAATTTTGCTGTTGTGGTTACAAAACATCTGGAACGGTTGTTAAACAGGCAATTATTGCGTTTCATTCAAACGTTTGCTGAACATCCTCCTCCTCCTTCCTCCAACTGGCAGGTTTCACTCATCCTTGTGGACCAGGATCAGCGGAAACACGTTGTGCAGACATTCAAACCGACGGCCGAGAGCTCTTCGTTCAAGAGACCGACTAGTGATATGAACGTTGCCTCAGGTTGGGTTGGCTACCTTCCCCCACCTCTCATAGTACCATTATTATAGAGAGCACCCTTTGATATGTTGCTAGGTCCTAGTGCAAGAATTCCCAACGAGTTTCCATTTAAATTCCCATTGAGTTTCCATTTACAGTTTATAAGTGTAAGTTGCCCACATTCCGTTTCACAACCCTTGTAACAATTTTTGTCGCTTCTGAAGGCCAACATGCCAAAGTTCAAGGTTCATGGTTTTCACACCTTGTATTTATGGTGCAGAGCCAGTAATGGAACAAATTATTCCACACCAATAGTTCAGCTCTATGCTTCTACCAATACATACTTATTTCTCTCTCTCTCTCTCCCCTCTGCAGGCTGCCCCCAGTTCTCCAAGCTAAACGTACTAGATGATTCCAGTTATGTAAAAGACGATGTGCTCTATCTGAAATGTATCATTGACACTTCTCGTATATTTCATCCGTAGTGACTGAGTAGTGACCACCTCCATCATCACTTTTACGTTGATCAATCACCCTTATACACTTCATGTGGGTGATTATTGCCCCTTGGTGACAATATATTATATGAACCCTTCAGTTGTTGATACTGATATTAATTTTTTACATTGCGCAGGCATTTACATTTTTTTTATGCATTAAAAATTATGAAAGTGCATTAAAATTATGAGAACAAGTGTGGATGACGGTGTTGGTGCTAAGGTTCTTCTGTTCCTAGTTTTCCATGTCCAGGCTGATGCTGGAGACTGACATGATTAAGTTAGCTCTGCATGTTTCTGCTGACTAACATGTCTATGGACCAAGTTTAATGTACACAGTCTTGTTTATCTTTGGCGTGTATAAACGATGATATAATATAGAGTCATTTGCTGTCAATGCTTCACCGCTCTGGGAGAACGAGATCGCGACAATGGAATTGGTCCTGGTCGTTGCTCTGTGCTACTTTTGCTGGACATTTGATGTGGAAGGTAAGACATGTTTTGTGAGGCCGTTGTTCATACTTACTATGTGTTGAGGCACAGCAATTATCACTATATGCACAGGGGTGATCGTATCTTCAACAAATGGACCAATTCCAAACAACAACATGTCAAGGATCAGTATTAATGATTTTCTGGTGTTGAGTCCAACTGACTACCGTGCCAGTAGGCTCCTATGCGAGTCCCAACGGACCCAGAATTACATCAGTTTACACTACGGTTGTCTCGTTGGTGATGGGAGTGGTCCAGTGACCTGTGCTCGTGAAGGTCCGCAGGCCACACCAGATCGTGGCAGAGTGGCGCGGGGATGGGTTGGAAGAAGTGGCCAGAGGGGGGATTATAGAGTCTATTCACTGCAGAGGAGGTTGGAAAATGCAGAGGAAGGGTATTTCAACTGTGTTATGGAGGGCGATATTAACCCTCTATCGGGTCTGTTCGTTCTGCATCCCAGTGAGTATTATATTATAGCAGTGCATCTCACATGACATAATGAGAGATAGTAACCTTTAGATCTATTATAGTATCAGCAGGCATGGCATTATGCATTTTGCGTAAGTGAAGAATTTTGGAAGTGGAGAAATTTAGAAACAGTATAATTTTGAATAGGGGAAATATGGAAGTGGATAAATTTGAAAGTGATAAAATGTGAAGTGAGCGCTACCCCAATGGGCTTTTGTACAGAAGTTGTAAAAGTCTCTTTGCCTCCTGACCTGTATTTCTGAGAGAGATGTTCTGTAGCTACTATATACTCCTCTCCTCCAGTCACTGCGGTAACTGCATTTATTGAGGTGGAGGCGGGAACATTGACATTCCGAGTGAGGTGTACCTCCACTGGTGGTAGAGCTCTCAACATGGCCGTCTCTGGAACTAGTGGATACAACTCTGACATCAGTACCAATATACGGCCAGTTGGTACTAGGATGTTTCAGGGGGATGACAGCTATACTGCTGTCACTGAAGTGATATCTGGCGGCATGTCTGGAGATGTGTACCAGTGTAATGTGACTGGTGCTGAGTCAAACACCAGCAGTGTTATTGTGGAAGGTACGCTATACAATGGACTTCAGTTGATTAGCTAGCTACACTTTTTTCCCTTTACAGATGCTGTTGCTCCAAATATCACTTTACTGGAGCAAACAGCTCCGACTACTGTCAGAGTCGACTGGACTGCTTCACTAACGTCCCCACTGACTGGATATGCAGTTCGCTACTCTCTTTCTGGTGGACGTGAGAATGTCACTGCAATACTGAGCTCCACAACTACCAGTGCTGATATCACTGATCTGTCCAAAGGGAGGACGTACACCTTCTTGGTAGAGGCTGTCGCTGGCAACAAGCTACCTGGAGTGTCTGGAGAGATGACTATTACACTGGGTGAGGGTGGAAATTAAAGTGGAAACCCTCTAATCTGACACCAATGAGACAGAAGAAGTGTCCATATTAGTGAGGTGTCCTTATTGCAGGGGTTAAGTTGAACCGTTCTTGGGGAAGTTCTTAGTAGAGAGGTGTCCTTAGACAGAGGGGTTCCACTGCAGTCCACTTTCACCGTTCCTTCTTTCTCTCTCTTCCACAGCTCCTGGCACTCCTGAAGATGTGTTGACTGCTGCAGAATCATCCCCAGTCACTGTGTCCTGGGAGGCGGTGGATGATGCTAACAGATATACTGTCACATTCTCTAAGGCTCAGGGAACCAATCAGGAGGGACTATGTCCTACTGACTCTCATACTGCCACTCTGACAGTCAGTGTTCCCTCCACTACTGTCAGTATTGCTGTAGGAGGAGATGTGGGGTCAGCAGTGACTGATGAGTTGAGAGCCTACACCACATATGAGGTGACTGTGGAGGCAGTCAGTGATGTTCGAGGTACCAGTCGACCCAGTGGGACCAGGAGAGTTCTAACACCACAGACAAGTGAGACCCCTGAGGATTGTGGTCTCACAGTCTGCGTGTATGTCTGTATGTGTATGTACAGGTGCAAGAGAGGCTCCTGGGGATGTGAGAGCAGAGGCTGAGAGCCCCACCGAGATCTCTGTCCAGTGGAGTGGCCTCTCCAACTGTAGACTGGTCAATGGTCGAATCACTCAGTACAGAGTAAAGTATAGAGCAAGAGGCAGAGCTGAGACCATAGACCAAGTACTGGGAGGTGGTGAAGACTGGAGGAGTGGGGGAGAGGTATTACTGACCGGACTGACTCCCTCCACAAACTACTCCATATCAGTAGCTGCTGTGAATGAGAATGGAGATGTTGGACTCTACTCTGATCCTGTAATAGCACAGACTGTAAAAATTGAGAAAGGTATAATAGTATTATACAAAAAGTATTATTCTGACTTATAATGTAGAGATGTTGTATTGACTTCAGTATGAGCTGAAATCGAACCAAAACTTTCTGAGCATAATGTTTCAAGAAAACTCTACTGTTTAAGGGCACCCCTGAAATAAAGTCATGATCTTTCCCCAAAACAGTGCGAAATGCTTCCAATTTAGGACATCGCACTAATATGGACACTTTCCTAGTGTCATGATTACAGGAGTTCCACTGTATCACTGCCAAAAATCTGTGATATTCGTGCTAGATCTTGATGTGAGTGCAGTGCTCACTGCTGAATAGCTGCAGTGATCATATCCCTGATTGGTGTGCGCAGTAGGTACATCTACTGGGCTTGTGGTGGAGCTGCGATTGCAAAAAGAACAGGTACATATTAGCTATACCAGTTGGCCACAACTAGCCACTACTGGTGGCAACACTAAACCAAAAGTGCCACTAAAATTTAAAAGTGCAATTAAAAAAACCTTCGGCCACAACACGCATGCACGCCGAGGGTTAATAATAATGCAACCTTGAGCAGCACAGCAAGATTTTATGGGCTGTGTTTTGAAGCTTTGGCATAGTATATACACCTGAAAGATGCAGTCATTATTATGGTGATTAGCATCATTCCCCACTAGTAGATAGTTGCTGCTTATTCTGTGCATATACAGACAAAAGACTGAGAGAGAAGGAGACATGGCTACAGAGAGTAACCCAGGATACTGTGTCAGTGGTACTCAATGGAGGCCAGTGGAGACTGCAGGAGACTCTGAGGTCCCTGGCTTCACCCACACACACTCATCTCGTTCCATCCTCCCACCTTCTGGAGCCCCGGAGGATGAGGAGGTCTATGAGGACGTGATTTGAACCACCTAATGCTCACTTTCCCGCAAACTGTGCAGAAACGTATTACACGTTCAGTTAGTTACATACTCTTACTTTTTACTGTAGGAATAGTACTGTGAGTTGTGTGAATATGAATCATGCAAAATTTGTATGTACTACGGTAACTGCTATTGGGATGTTTGGTTGATCTACTATTCCACATAATGCAAGCATATTATTATACATAACAGAAGTACAATCAATGTAGCACTAAAACAAGGCTTTAAAATCACTACATCATGTAATAATGGATGTTCTACGGTTTTCTAATAATCTGATAATATTATTTATGATCTTTGCTTGCAGGGTAGTATAAGTATTGACAATGATAATAATGAAGGAAGTGCAGGAGTTGTATTGTCATAATAATGATCTGAATGATAATGAGGGGGGTGGGTCATGTGATAGTCACGTGATCATTGGCCACACCCACACTGGGTGACCTTCCTGAGAGTCTGAGTGATATTTCTTCCGATGGGCACTTCCACTGTTTCCATGGCAGTGGGTAAACACCGCGGTGTGGAAGGGGTTAACATAATCTGGCATTCATTAGGGTTACCCGGCAATCTGGAATGAAAGATGAAGGTGGGCATTAATTAAAGTTTGTTCTGCTTGCAAATTACTTTCGGCATTACAAAAAGCTACATATGAGAAGGTTTGTGAGGGAATGAAATTTCATTTGCTTAAAGTTGAGTGCTCAAGCTGTGAGCTTGCATGCTCTTGTGCCGGGCAGGATTGAGGAGAGAGAAAATGTGTAGAGAGAGAGGGTCAGCTCACGGAATGCACTGTGGTTTTGGAGTTGGACAAGTCCAGGAGGAGCATCTGCCGACATCGACGACCGTGAGGGCCAGAGGCACCTCCAGCTCCTCGCCCTGTCCCGTAACCTCCCCACTCCCTCCCTCCTCTCCCCCATCTCCCCGCGGTCTCACATCCTGCCCTCCGTCCATCCGCACCTCTTCGTAGTGGGGTAACCGGTGGCAACCACCCACACACTTGCAGGTCTTCACAACTGGCACGTTTCTCGTACCTGCACACATTGTACGACATGTCATCATCACACTCTTCAGCGCACAGACCTGGCCAAGTAGGCACGCACAGCACACTAAAGCACAAGCTAGCACTTGGCACATCTTGTTCTACACCCTACTCTTGGCATTAGGGAACTTCAACCATGAAACTAGAGCTACGCGACTAGATCTCTCTTTCCACGATTGCGAACCAAGCAGTGAATAAATCAGCTATGATGACGTCAATGTTCACCTTTAGGGGATTGGATGGTCTTGAGGTCATAGTGCACCACCTGACAGCTATCGGTGCCACACCCACCTCGACTGGAGCACTGACCAACATCCACCTCGACTCTGTGCTCTGTGCCCTGGGTCAGGAAAGGGTTAAATAATATAAGGACATTGAACTATACTATAGAGAGAGGGTACAGGGGTCAATAGTGGGAATGTAAGTGTTGATACAAGCGAGGAAAGACAGGGTTAAACTAAGGGTGCTGAGTCGGGAGAGTAGGGAAAGGGTTAAACGAAGTCAATGGGCTAAGAATAACATGCGAAAGGGTTAAAATCAGGGATGTATTAACACTTTTATGAAGGGTTACGTAACCATTGTTTACTGACTTCTCAAAATGCAGTATTCATGAAATTTTTTCTTATTGTGCACAAAATAATGTCTGATTTTGCTGCCATAAGGAATGTAGTGAATACAGTTAGGCACCAATAATATTGGAATCTTAATTGTGTTGCATCATTCTCGCATTTTGCGTCGCAAATATCAATTTTTTTATGAAAAAATCCGAGCTGATTGACTGTTGCATCATTCTATTTACTAGTAGAATAGAGAATGGGGGAATAGAGATATAGAGTTATGAGAGCTCACCGGGTGATAGACGACAGTCTTACGGAGCCTCCGACATCTCCCTGCTCCCCCACAGCGACAAGACCGAATAACACTGACTTCCTTTTCACCTAGTTGTGGGAAGGCAGAGAGGGTTGTGGTGATTAGTTTCTGTTCAGTTTAGCATTGGTTGTCACATGACTATCATGTGACGATGCGTACCTGTCTGAAGCTTGAAGACTTTCATTGTTGTTCTCTTGGCATAGCACTCTCCGTTACATTGCTAATAGAGAGAGCAAGAGATGAACACGAAAAATCAAATCATAAAACGTACTCCTGCAAGAACAGTGTTTTAACCAATGTAAGAGGAAACAAACTTTTGCTGAGCCGTAAGACCGAGCACCACAGCAAGAGTGTGTGTATTAATTCTGTACATTATATCCAGCCACCCAGATAGAGCTGGAGATGAATATATAGAAGAGAGAAGACTATCCAGCCACCCAGATAGAGCTGGAGATGAATATATAGACGAGAGAAGACTATCCAGCCACCCAGATAGAGCTCTTTTCCTTATCCCAACCACCCGCATTCCTCTAACGTTTCCATCAACACACAATATCAGGTGTCCATAGTATATACACATCAGACTGGGCACCAGACGAAAGGCAACATCCAGAAACGCCATCTGCCTCTGATATCAACTGTCAACTCGACTTCCCAATTCAACTCTTGGCTCAGACACCACCTGGTAGCAACTAGCTCCTCTACAACACCCTCCAGCCAAACACACATCTGTCTATACTAGGACCCATGCTATATATAGCAGGACTGCCTCTGTGGGTGTCTGGTGTCACTGAAACATCTGTGACCATTCCAGACAAAAGCCATTTCAGGATGAGGTGAAATTCCATATCCATATTGGCAGTCAATCCATCGTTTTCTATCCCATTTGAGGATCCTTTGTTCCCATAGCACACAGACAACACATAGACTGGCACACGCTATGAGGTCACATATGGAAGCTTTGTAACTGGATATGTTTTTGCGACATGGCAAGCAGTGCCTAATACTGCCCCGTTGCCCTGGAAACTACCAAATTTGATGCGATTAGAGATGTGGGCAGTTTGGGCACGTCAGACTCTGACGTTTCGCGAGTTCGTGTGGCCATAGACACTTGACCCTATATACCACCTACGTGGTATAAGGGCAGAAGGAGAGATTAAAAGTCTGGGAACTCCTTCTCCAGTTTCTATATCAAACCTTATTATGAGAACTACGAAAGGCTTAGTGTAACTGAACGTCTATCAGTTTTACCTTTCCTGGTACTTTTTAGACCAATGTTTTGCCTTCAAACAACCCTTTTTCCATTGGTTTGTTAACTGTTGTATGAAAACAACCATTAGGATATAGGCTAATAAAAATGAGCAATCTTGTATTAAATTGTCTACAATGGCAGCTATCATGATGTACAGTCGCTGGATAAACACCAGAGGCAGTAGAACCCCCAGTGGTATTTATTGACAGGTGGCCCAAACAGCTACTTCCTCATGCCTTCACAGTCTCAAATGAAACACCGACAAGATCAATGCATCGACAAGAAAGTGAAATTCCACGACGTCACAGTCGCAGCTCGACGTTTCTGAAAGCCTTTTAGCCTAATGGACTTGCGGCCTGCTCAAGTGTCATGTGATTGCGTTGGACACGAGTTTTGGTATGTTCTGGCGCCCGACGTGTGTGTGTGTGTGGTGCAGTGGTTGTCAGAGGACAGCCTATGTTGTAGGGTGCAGCAGACAGTGTGACGTTGCTTTTGTGAAAGTTATCCATGGCCTGAGGCGGTTGCACTTTGGGAAATCTCACTCTGAACGGCAGTTACCCATACACTTTGATCTTATTGGACTCTCTCTCTCTCTCTCTTTCCCCTACTCTAGATTCCCTCTCTCCTTTTCCTCACTTCTCTTTCCCTCTTCCTCTCCATCTCTCCCTCTCTCTCCTTCCATTCCTATGTTCTCTGCATCTTTAGTATAGCTACTTACCTGTAGACCAGCAAATCCAGACACCCATGAGTAACAGATATCCACGCACTTTCCAACATCCACTGTCACACTAGTACCGTTTTCATCTGCACGTCAATATTATATATCTGTTAGCTAAATCAGGCTTTTCAGCTACAAACAAATCTAATTCTTTTGGTACTGGATTTTTAACACATAAATTGTGGTTGTTAGCCATCAAAGTTTAAGAAATGTATTTATACCGAGTCCAAGAGATATGTTGTTGGGGAGTCTCATGCAGCAGCTTTTTCCGGAGAGAGGGAAGGTGTCTTCTGAAGCATTGAGAGAAGGAGCAACATCTATATCTCCCAGAGCTGTCACCGAGAGAGATAGGAGAACTGCCGAGAAGAGGAATGGGAGGGGGGGGACGAAGAGAAGAGGAAGGGGGAGGGAGAGAGGGTTAAGGAAAGGAACGAGAGAAGGGGACAGAGGAAATAAGGAGAGAGAAGAGAGGAAGATAAAATGGAGGAGGAAAGAAGGGACAAGGAAGGAAGGAAGAGGGAAGACTATGCAGGTTTAAAACTATGCACTTTCCCAACATACATTTGCATATAACGAGAAGGGAATCGTGACTATTGTAGCCTAGAGGATGGCAGGAATCTCTACAGTCCAGCCCACAGGGTTCATTGGTACTACTGCCTCCCCACCACAGGTGACCAGGTCATTCTTAACTTAGCCCTTGAAGTAAGGCTTCCAGCCTGCGAGTCAAATTAAACTCACGGACGGACCGGCAGACAGCAGTTAGGGGGGGATTTTTGCACCACGTGTAGCTACTACAACAGAATTTCATCAGGTATGGTGACGTATTGTAAGGAGAAAGAAGGAGAGAGAGAGAGAGAGAGAGGGAGAGAAACCAGCTAGGTGCCAGGAAATGCCAAAGGGAAGCCAAGAGAGAACACAGAAATCAGAGAAAAACTGTCTGGTGCCGCGTGCAAGCTTCAGCAGGTAAATATCATGCCCTCGTGACCTCTTAGACTATATGTTGTAGGTCATCGTCCATGAAAAATCTTATTAGCTTCAATTAATGAGCCAGGTGGGTCGCTTGAGGAATGCTGTAATAATAGGCTCTGCGGTAGCAATTGCAGAGGTGTGCCATAACTTTAAAGTTGCAAATCACAAACACAATTTTGATCTGAGAGTGTAACAATTAATTGTGGCTTCGATCGTCGATACTGTTTCCAACTATATATCCAGTTGTTAAAGTGGGGTGGAATAATGATAGCCTTGTAAATTTATAAATATTGACATTGCTTATGGAGATGTTATGAATACTCGGAAACAATTGTGGTTTTATCAAATTAATATTATCCATTGGTTTATTTGCCACAATAAGTGAAGCTTAATATTGCCCGTACTGAATATGCATAGTTTCAGACCATTGGGTGCCTACGAGTTTTGTCTAACTGCTAAGGTGTGGCATAAGATGGGATGCTAGTTTATGACTCATACTTCATCCTATCTGGTGCAATTTCTTGCACGGCTGCTCTGCCAGGCAAATATTGACACTGCGCTGCGCCCTAACTGCTCCGTGGTTGTGTAGACTGTCATGTGAAGTTTCATTCAATTACAACCTCCATTGCCTACGAGATGTGTCCCGGTGTCTAAGTATGTACCTTGTTGACAGCCAATGAACGTGAATTTTGTGATACCACTAATGGTTTTAGCCCATCGCTTGGATGTTTAACTGCTTAACTGAATTCATGATGTTCTAGCTGTCTATGGTACACTGAGGCCTGTCCATCCATCCATATCCGTAGTTATGCAACTACAGTCTTATACAACACTAACTAATAGAGGCTCGTAGTTTTATAGAGGCTATATATAGTGTTTGATTGGGCTTCGTTTCCCTGGGGGTTTGCTCTGAAATCTACAACCTACTGAACAGTAGTTCCTGCATCCTTTTCCTGAGAATGCCCGGCAATGTGGAAGTACTCACAGCAGACCAAACACCCACCCCTCGACCTTCATTCCATTATCAACCACAAAACTCTCTGAAATACCAAGCAATGTGTAGCACTGCATACCATGTGCGCTGAACCCGTCATTTCGACTGAGCACTGTAGCATGCGGGCCAGGGTTCGCGACCTGTCTATGAACTCTTGAAGGAGCTGGCGACAAGAGGAAAACAAACATTTCCCACGAATGACGCCACATGCCTTTAGAATGATGCTGAGCAGTAACACCAGACACGTGAAATCATAAAAACCACAGTCCTCGCATGGCAAATAAGGAACTTATTATCAGGTCAGATATGGCAGCAATTAATTGATTGTTTGTGCGCTTGAGGCACCTCGTGGCGCCATATAAGGTGTGATATTTTAAGGACGAATCCTTACCATATGTCGGCAACACTGCATATAATCTAGACTTATTCATTTCGTGCAAACAAAAGCCCAGATGAGGCGCCAGTCTGCAATCTAACAATGCGAGTTATGACGCCCAAAACAATTCCTGTATTTGTGTTGCGTGTGTATTGAAATACGAGCATATGCCGATGTAAGGTTGTTTAGTCTTAGAGTAATGTGGTATTATGTCAGATGATAATGACAGTTACTTATGATGGTCATTTTTACTGCAGACTGAAATGTGTCTGGGTGAGTGGGCATATGTCGATGTAAGGTTGTTTAGTCTTAGAGTAATGTGGTATTATGTCAGATGATAATACAATTACGTATTATAGTCATTTTTACTGCAGACTGAAATGTGTCTGGGTGAGTGGGCATATGTAGATGTACCGGGAATGCAATGAATATCGTATTTCGCCCATTATGCCATTCAAAAATGACAGTTTGTTTAATGCCTGGTGTCACCTCTGCACTGTCACTCTGGCACTTTCTAAGACACCAACAGTTTACGATGGCAGGAAGTAGACATCCACTAATGAGGGGTGGCATGTTAGTGTATACTACCCAAATATGGGGATTTTATAGCAATGTTTGGTTTGGTAACTAAACAAAAAGAGTGTACAAGATTTTGAACGTTGAATTGTTATCCTTAGCAAAATTGTATATATCGTTACCCAAGATGTGCAGAAACAATATAATTACTACAATAATTGTACATGCGTGCGGTAATGCAAAGCGTAGTCGCATGCACGCTACTCCTCACAATTCAGCGCAAGTTTTTCTGTACAAAAATGCACTGCATGATGCAGTAATACTCACGTGATAAGATACTTGCAAGTGAAGAAATGCAGGCCATATTGAATGGAGTAGAATCTTGGTAGAAAATAAGTTGAAGATCCTTCCTTTTCGTCTCTTTCTCTCTTGTACCAGGAGCACCGGCGCACAGTTTTTTCCCGCAGGGTCGCCTTTTTATTCTGCACAGAATGTGGGTAGGGCTGGTATTGCGCATGCGCAATATGCGTGCGGCGAAGCACAACAGCCGCCGGATGCACGCTTTTTGTAGCGCGCGATGATACGGTTACGTATATACACCTCGGGGGTACAAAGGTCAAAACGTCCTCACGTGGGCGTGCCACTGGGGGAAAGATGGTGCAGTGTTCCGGGGTTGCTCTGTTCAGGAGACGGTACAAGGGGCTGATGAGACCCATGGTGCTCAAGTCTCGCGTCAGGAACTCCTCCAAACACAGCTCTAGTGAGGGACGGGGGGGCGGGAGGGGCCAATATTTGTCAAATTCAGGTGTCTCTATTTAGTCTAGCTATCACAATCAGCAAGCAATTAGCATTCAGCAGCAATAGCTGTTTTTCTGTTTGCTGTGCTCTTGCCGCCTTCCTGACTGCATTTCAGAAGATCTGAGGCTGCTCAAAGTGTGGTCTGAGTATTGGTATATTGCTGTAAGCTCAACCAGCTGTGTCAACCCTTTTGGACAGATCTTTGTTCCTTCGACCAGCTGAGCTTGTGCGAGCCCACACAGAACCATGCCTGCATGTTTGTTAGTGGACGTCATGTTTCAGGCCACCCCTCACGCAGCACCACGTCATGTTTCAGGCCACCCCTCACGCAGCACCACCTCAACTTGTAGGACACACTGCAGCTCCAGACACCAGCTGTCGTCTGTCCGTCTGTCACCGCATTCTTATCAACATCTCTCAACTGCGTGACACCTGTGTCAGCCTCTCTCTCTCTCTCTCCTCTCTCACGTGTCACGCAGGTGGCTCTTTGCCAATACCACATCTGTAGCTCACTGATACACACTTCTCCTGCAGCCACTAACCAGATTCTCTCGTTGTTGATTTGCCACGTCGCATGCGACTGTGATCTGTGATCTGCATGCAGCGTGAGATTGGAAATTTGCACGAAACGTGACTCCATATCTTATTCCATCTTCGTTTTCAAGCTGGCAATAATTCACCCTCACCAGACGTTGCACCAGAACATACATAATGTATGTATCTTGCATAATAACAAACCATTTATACACAGAAGTATGTACCATTATTAGAGAAGTACTCTTAAAGTACTATTAAAGTTAGTGTGAGTGTGGTATTGGTTGATTGGCCATCCAACAGCTGTCCTGCGCTGCGGTCTGCTAGCCTCTTGAAATGCTAGTTCAACAATTTGTGTCGTCACCTCGAAATTCCTCGCATACCTTTGGCCAACCAGGAGTGTAGTAGCAAGTTCTGACATGATGTAGCTATGGATACCAATAGAGGAATGTGCCCCCTATTACGTAAATCACAGTTCTTCCGTTTATTGACAATCAACAATATCATGAACATCTGTAGTTACATTTTATTGCGTAATATTTACGTTAAAATTCATTTCAATGAGAGACAAAATTAATATCTTTCTAAAATTCAAGGTGTTTTAATCGGTGTAACCGATATTCAATTTATGACACACTATTATTTATTGCTTTGTTTATTTGTCGTTTTCTCTTCATTTGGAGACTTGGGGTTTGCAGATCTTCGTGGCACTTGCCGCGATATTTTTCTCCGCTTACACCTGCCACTGAATCACCGCTAAAAATTCATCCCTCTATAATTGGCGATCAAAGCTAGCCTTACCTAGTTGTCTGAATGCAGTATTTTCTGTTATTTATATGCGACAGGCACGGAGCACTGCTTATACATACTGTTCTATTTGATTTTTAATGCGCGTGTGAAAAAGTGAACTACTTGTGCTTGATCACCAAAATTGCATTGCATTCCTTCTAGTGGGTGTAGGCATGAATCACGGGGTTGACAAGGCAAGGCACATCAACTGTATATACCTCAGGACTGTTGAATGGTAATACTTATGCATGTGCGTGCAGGCCATATGGTGACTGGTTGGTCCTTTCTACGGAGACGACACCATATCCATTCCATTGGTAGCAGCTGTTGCCCGCATTGTGCAAAATTCTTTATCTTTCAGGTGTGTGTGCGTGCGTGAGTGTGTGTGTGTCTGCGTTTGTTATCCCAGCAAAACTGACTCCGCACACATAATTGTGCAAGCTGAAAATTAGTTGCATTAACCAATTATAAAGGTCGAAAAGTTTAATTTCAATTTCATTTTAAAGTATGGGTATTATAGGTGTCCATGCAATAGGTCACATTAAAACACATGTGTTAATTTGTTTATGATGCAACCGTCTGTAATAGGCTCCACTTTGGTGGTGAAGTGACCCCAACAGCTAATCAACAGGGAGTGAAAAGAATCTGTATGTAGCTAATAATAATTTTCAAAGAAGTGGTATATATACCTCAAGTTCACTAATTATAGTTATCTCTTGACCTGTGTAAAATGTCAGTCTTCACAAACTAAGAACTTTACGTCTGCATGCTATGTGCAGCTAGTTAAAGTATTATCCAACACTAAATTGATGACTTCAAGTTTACTGTAACGATATTCCACTGTAGCTAGTTGTCCTCTTGTGAGCTGGCTTTTGGCCGTAGTAAGCCAATCTGTCTTCTACAAGACACACCTCGAACTCTCCGTCTGTAGACAGCTAGCTACCAGCAAGTGGGTCTGTGTCTAGTCTGTGTCTAGTCTGCTGCGACAAGAACCAGCAGACATGTCGATAAATACGAGAACCAAGTTCAAGATATGCTGCGTCTCCCGCCATTTGTTCTGGCTCCTTTCATCACGTCACTGTGGCGACAATTACTAAGCGGCAGATACTGAACTCTGATTTGTTGTGTTAAAAGGGAATTTTGCATTACATAAGGGCTAAATTTAGAAATGTTACTAAAGATGGAACAAAACAATAGGGGTGCAGTGAAAGAATGCACTTGAGTTCCGTTTTTAGTATAGCCAGTGCCACATTCCCTTTAAAAGTAACACCGTTGAGTCTGTACAGCCAAGAAAATGCTCAATAGTCACTAAAATTCTTTTCCTCTCCTTAGCATGGGCTCTGGGCCACGCAACTTATACCATGTGTTGCCTTGGAGTTGTTACAGTGGGTGACATAACACTCAACAAAGGATGTTTTAGTTTGATGGGGGGGAGCGTGAATGCTCAAATGGTTTTACCAAGAAATGTGTCGTTCAACACAGATGGCCTGTACCATTTTGCCCAAAGAAAGGATTATTGTTGTAAATTGACCTATCACTCTGTATATTGGGTGTGCCTGTTGTTGGGCCGATGATCATGTTTCATTCACGTGTGGAGTAATTGATAGGAAAAGGCAGGGAAACGGTCGGGGGAAGAGGGAGAGGGTGGGTAGTGAGGAAGGAGAGGGAGGGAAGTAGAGGATAGTGGTAACACATTCTCACACAACACACTCGTAAACTTGTGTATTGAGTGTCACTAGAGAAAACACCTACCATACTACCACACCTAGTTGTAATGTCACTAGAAGGTGAGGACCAAGAAGGAGAAGACACAAGGTCAAATCCTACCATACTACCACACCTAGTTGTAATGTCACTAGAAGGTGACCAAGAGGGAGAAGACACAAGGTCAAATCCTACCATACTACCACACCTAGTTGTAATGTCACTAGAAGGTGACCAAGAGGGAGAAGACACAAGGTCAAATCCTACCATACTACCACACCTAGTTGTAATGTCACTAGAAGGTGACAAAGGAAGAGAACACCAGCTTCCACACAAGGTCTAAATCCTACTGTAATGTTCCTATAGGCGATCGTTGAGAAATAACGAGTTTCATGTCCTACTAAAACAACTGAACATGGGAACCACCAGATTACTATCCGTAAAACCGTACTATCATCAGAATTGGGAGTACATTACACAAAAGAGGGTGTTTTGTAACATGATGTGTGGAGAAGAGATACATTGGAATGCAGTGTGACCCAATTAGTGTGCCACGGAAGGAACTATTAATGCTATTCTCTGCCTGACCTAACTCGGAAAGAATTCCATCAATCTGGCAGTATCAACCACACCACGAGAGGGGGAATAGCCATGTCCATCTCCACATGTCATCGCCAGGATCAATCTCTTTGTTCCTCCCCCCCCTCTCTCTTCGTCTGCATGTGACTCAATGTCTCGATTTTATCAGCACAGAGCGGCCCCCTTGGGAAAGAAAAGCAGAGAATTACATCATCATCTCCATAGTGTGGGTCAAAGTTGCTTCTGATTTATGCACTTCTCGAATTCCCCCACCCATCTTTTCTCTCTCCTCTTCCTCTCTCCGTGTACAACTGGAACAAAGACTGTAAAAGGTCAGCCGGGGTTCGGCTTTGAAGTCACCTCGAGTAGCCCCTTCTCGTAATCCACGGGGGTGCACCCCGCCCCCTCTCACTCTCCCTCTCACACATTCTCTCCCTCTCTCAGAGTATATTAAACACGCAACTGCGACGTACCAAAAGGTTCAGTGTTAAAGTGGTCCTTGCCTCATCGAAGCTAATCCTCTCTTCTTCTTTCTCCCCCTTTAGTGCATTAACCTCAACTCTATCTTCTTCCGCTCGCCAATGGTTATTATGCACATAACTGGAACAATATTCTTTAGAAGATCGTGAGGTTTGAAGTGATTCCGTTTTATTAAGGATAATCCCAATCCCCACCCCCTCCCCTCTTCCATCTCGTACTCTCCTGTCCCTCTTTCTCGCTATTGGCCCAATAACCATGGTAGCGCTGTCACTTTCTTGTCACCGGATGTGATCACTTGTGCCCCAAGTAGCCAATGTTGAGTCATCACACGACGTCGTACTATTGACTTGTGCCCTCTCTAATTTTTTGTGAGCCGCACTTTATCCCTGATTTGTCTCAATCTGTACCGCATGAACCCCCACATGCTAGCATTAGTATACAGCGAGAGAAGGGGTGCATCTAATAATAATATTCCATCTTCCACCGATGCTGCTGACTCTAGGTCCGCCGTGTCTGGGGGAGATGACAGCTGTCATGGCATGCTGGAAGCTCCACAGCTTCAACGATGTTCAGTGCAGGAAGGAGATCGAGGCGTTCAATACCTGCTCTCGGGAAGTGGTGAGTTTACACTGCTTCCTCACTCTTCCTCCCCTTGCAAGATTACACTCATCACAGAAATTAGCAATTTTTCTTGCTTCATGCAAATATAAGTTCAGAAACAGATTTTCATCACACCTCATCGAAATTTTGCAGATTCCAAAATTTTGTCATTTTTCTTCTTACTGCATGCAAAAAAAATGGATCTTTGCCACACCCAATCAAATTAAAGTTGCAAGGTGCACTAATACTTTTATGATGTAGTTTGTATGATATCATGATGAAGTATATACATATGTACACAGAATCCAACTTAGTTTAATTACAATTACTTTATCGAACACTCCCTTTAATATGAAATCACAGTATACTCCCCCCATTGATGATTTAACACTAGTAGTGTAACTTCTTGCTGTGCTACGTTTTTCAAAATGAGACAGAACACATGAACTAGTGGTTGGCATGCAGCAACACATTCAGATCAGAAGAACCAAAGCTGCTATGCGATACCAAATAAGGGTCTACAAAACAAAAGACTGCATGTAGCGGTTGCCGGGACGTCTGAAACCTGATTATCAGCAGACGAGTCAAAAATGTCACAAAGAGCAACTATCAGACAGTTCTATTAGTCTGACATTGAGAGGCTTGCTTTGTGCGTCACTAGCAGCAAATTAACTCAATTACAATTGCCATTCAATGTGACACGTGCTACCTTAAGCTGCACAGACATACTGAATTCTATGCATGCACTCATTAAAAGTGAGTTTATATACTGCTTCCTCACTCTTCCTCCCCTTGCAAGATTACGCTCATCACAGAAATTAGCAATTTTTCTTGCTTCATGCAAATATAAGTTCATAATTTTCATCACACCTCATCGAAATTTTGCAGATTACAAAATTTTGTCATTTTTCTTCTTACTGCATGCAAAAAATTGGATCTTTGCCACACCCAATCAAATTAAAGTTGCAAGGTGCACTAATACTTTTATGATGTAGTTTGTATGATATCATGATGAAGTATATACATATGTACACAGAATCCAACTTAGTTTTCTGTAGAATTGTCTTGTGTGTGGTTGCCTTACATTTGCCTTGTGACCTTGTTGTTCTCTTCCATTTCTCTCCCTCCCTCCCTCCTCCTCCCTCCTCCCTCCCTCCCTCCCTCCCTCCCTCCCAGAGAGCTAATCCTGAAGCCCACAGAATCCAGTCAGGTCAAAGGTGGACACCAGATGAAGTCAACATCAGACTTAGAAAATTTGCGTGGTCTCAATGACACACACATCACTGTCCCATAATCATGTTCATATCGTCATCATTTACGTTTATGACTATATTAAAAAACGTTGGTTCTTTATATTATGGCCCAAACATCTCTATCAATACTTGGTTATTGATCATTACATCATTATAGTTGTAAAGGCATAATGTACATTGAGAATTTTATGTCGTGACGTCATGAGAAAAGCCTGGAAATAAGTCATGTGATTGTCATGTGACAGTATATAGTCAGCCGGTGGTGCAGCCGCACTCCTCTACGACAGGGAGGGTCTCATTGTGTCCCGACAGGTCAGTGTAGGAGAATGTGGAGCCCCTCGTGGGTCGACACTTTCCCTGTATCCCTGGTAGATACCACATACAGTCCCCGTTCTGGTGGTATCTGGTGCAGCAGGGGTTAATTCAGAAAGTGTGTGGCAGAGATTAGTGTGGAAGAGGTTAATTATAAAGGGGTAGAGAGGGTGCTTGAGAGGGGTTAATTTTAGAGAGTGTGTGGGTTCTAGGGGAGTGGCAGATAGCTCACTAAGAGAGTGTGAGTATTTGGGGGTTAAAATGTAGCCAACAGCATAGTGTATGTAAGGGGTTAAACTCACTGAAGGCATCTTCCATTGATGAGCACTCCCTGGCAACTCCCTATACACTTCCCTGTGTTCACCAGCTGCAAACATTAGGTAATTCCCAAAGTGATACTATTTATAGAAGGTGCGTCTACACCCACCTCCTCCTGTCTTCTGTTGTCAGGGTTACGAGCAGACACAGACTGGAAGTGGTCGACACGGTAACACTGCTCTGACACACGAGAGCAGTTTTCAATGACTTCAACTGTCACATGACCTGGGGTAATTAATTAACACAATTACTTTATCGAACACTCCCTTTAATATGAAATCACAGTATACTCCCCCCATTGATGATTTAACACTAGTAGTGTAACTTCTTGCTGTGCTACGTTTTTCAAAATGAGACAGAACACATGAACTAGTGGTTGGCATGCAGCAACACATTCAGATCAGAAGAACCAAAGCTGCTATGCGATACCAAATAAGGGTCTACAAAACAAAAGACTGCATGTAGCGGTTGCCGGGACGTCTGAAACCTGATTATCAGCAGACGAGTCAAAAATGTCACAAAGAGCAACTATCAGACAGTTCTATTAGTCTGACATTGAGAGGCTTGCTTTGTGCGTCACTAGCGACAAATTAACTCAATTACAATTGCCATTCACTGTGACACGTGCTACTTTAAGCTGCACAGACATAATTTAAAATCCGTGTCCTCACTAAATAGCACGTGCACTCCAGACACCAGAACTGACTACTATACCAATCTCACCAATTAGCTAAGTCAGTCGGGTACATATTTTCTGAGAAAGACAATGAGAGAGAGAGAGAGAGAGAGAGAGAGAGAGAGATAGTGACCTGAAATTTCTCCATGGGCAGGTGGTTGCCATGTCTTACCATTTGGGCCTTCAATTGACAATGATCTCGTGCGAGTTGGTTGACAGGTTAACGGGGTGGGTGTGGTCATATCACTAGCACTACCTTCTTCGCTGCACACCCCACTGCACTTGCCAACATCTATCTGTGATGTAATGATGACATCATTCCGTAAATTAACTGCAAGCAAAACTCTTTGAGTAAGGTTCCTGAGTGAATGCTAGTATAATAGTCACTCAGCAAAGCAACAAGCTTAAGAAAAGACAAAAAGTATATCGCCAGTTGAACTTGCCTTCTGCTGGTATTGTGAGTTTGGAAAGACATAGAGCCTGTTATACTTTCTCTGACAGTTCTGGCAGTGGTGGCTGTTGGCGTGGCATCGCTTTATAGTCTTGACGAGGAACGGTCCAGTTCTGTTACTGTACGAGTCGAGTTGATAGGAGCGAGGGGTGCACTGCTTCTGGCACGACTGCTCTGCTTCTCTGGACACACAGCTCTGGGAGGGAGGATGGTGGGAGGGGTGGGGAGGATATTGGCTAATAGACTGTTTTTCTGCATCATTCGCATAATTATTACCTATGATATCGATATCTGTGCAGAATGCCATATGGAATCAAACTAATGAAATACCTCAGTAGGTGGCATATATAACAGTATATAAAACTAATTACTTACAGTTCCTGAAGGATTGAGGTACACTTTCACACACTGCTTCATGTCAATCAAAACCTGATTCTTATTAGCATCTATAACAGGAGGGGAGAGGGGGGAGGAATGGGGACAAAGACAGTAAACAGGTTCTGTGTTTAGAACGTCGACATTATAGGGACTTTGTTTTTGCTAGGCCACCAATTGGACGTCCATTACCGATTCCCCTCACCACCATGATTTTGTGGGGTTGGTTTATTTTAAACACACCGCACACAAAATTGACAGGAGACGGGTGGTGGCGCGGGAGGTTCACGGTTTGGGGATTGGGGGGGGACTTGCGCCCAATAATATAGACCACACCCCAGGAGTGGACCACCACTTCTCTCTCTCTCTCTTTCTCTCTTTTTCTATCTTTTCCCCCCCCCTTTTTTTTTTCCCCCCCCCCTGGGCTTTTTT